TTGATAAAAAAAAATACCTCCATTGAGCCATAAAAGAAGAGGTTGTTTTTGTGGTTTATGAGTGGCCTCAAAAAACCAATAAAACAATGCCCTCCCATGAGTTTTATTGACAGGAATATAACCGGCATAGTGTTTAAACATTACACCAGGTTACCCCGATAATTGATAAACTCTATCCGCTTCTTGCTCTGTCAATAATGGCACGCCTAAAGTTTGTTTGGTGAAAGATATAAGAAGCAGAAGAAGAACAACAACAACAAAATTCAACAAAACTGAAAACAAAGTCATTTCTCTTAATTTCTCTCAATTCACTTCTCTGCAACTTTGATTTAAATAAGGGAGTGTTGAGAAAACATAGAAGAGTGGCGTGACTATATATATTTGAAAAAAAGGAAAGGCCAGGGTTCCAAATACCTTCATCTCAACCATTTATGCAATCACTTCATGAATCCGCCTCATCTGAATCGTTCAAAAGAAACACACTCCACAATCCTCATTCACGTTCGGCCCTTTTACTATCAAAGTGAAGCCCTCAAATAGCGCATCATAATCTGTTTCTACTGAAATGGAAAGTGTTGAAATAGTTGTGTGGCACCCTCCGCTAACACAAGGAACTAAGTTAGGTATGAGAAAGAGACACAAAGGGTTGGGTTACTAACCACGCAATTCCACCATCTCCACGCATTTGGCATGTTAGGGCAGAAATGGAAAAAGATGCGATGAGTGCTCCGCTTAGTAGCGTGTTTCGTGGCGTAAAAATAACCGAACACGTTCACCTTAAAAACGCTCTTCAACTCACCCAGATCAAGGGCCATGATGGGAAGGTCATAACTGCTTCGTCGGAGAAGATCAGGGATTCTTCGTCGTTGAAGATAACCATTTACGGTTCATAAATGACCTTGCTTCATCGAAGAAGATGAGGGATTCGTCTTGGGAGAGGATGAGGGTTTAGGCTTCAGAAACAACACTCCATTTTCACAAATCATTGTGCATTGTGATGCATATTCTGTCCCTTGTGAAATTTCCCAATTGCCCCTTTATTGTTTGAGTATGACTCAGCTTATTATAGTCACGTGTCAATTTGTGATTTGTTAGCATGAGAAGGGCACCAGATCCTCTTCCAAGACGAATCCCTCATCTTCTTCGATGAAGCAAGGTCATTTATGAATCGTAAACGGTTATTTCAACACTTTTCATTTCAGTAGAAACAGGTTATGATGCACTATTTGAGTGTTTCACTTTGATAGTAGAAAGGCCGAACGTGAATGAGGATTGTGGAGTGTTTCTTTTGAACGATTCAGATGAAGCGGATTCATGAAGTGACTGCATAAATGGTTGAGATGAAGGTATTTGGAACCCTGGCCTTTCCTCTTTTTCAAATATATATAGTCACGCCACTCTTCTATATTTTCTCAACACTCCCTTATTTAAATCAAAATTGCAAAGAAGTGAATTGAGAGAAATTAAGAGAAATAGCTTTGTTTTCAATTTTGTTGTTGTTGTTCTTCTACTTCTTATATCTTTCACCAAACAAACTTTAGGCGTGCCATTATTGGCAGAGCAAGAAGCGGATAGAGTTTATCAATTATCGGAGCAACTTGATGTAATGTTTAAACACTATGCTGGTTATATTTCTGTCAATAAAACTCATGGGAGGGCATTGTTTTATTGGTTTTTTGAGGCCACTCATAAACCACAAAAACAACCTCTTTTCTTATGGCTCAATGGAGGTATTTTTTTTTTATCAACTTATGCAATCGTTTTTATTTAGTATTTACAGTTATGTCCTAAATAATTTTGCTAAAAAGTATTTGTTACAAAGTATTTGATCATGTCCTAAATTAATTTGCTTGAACTTTTGTATACTAGGACCTGGTTGCTCGTCCATTGCCTTTGGAGCAGCACGAGAGCTTGGTCCATTTCTTGTGCAAGACAAAGAACGCCTCAAACTTAACAAATTCTCTTGGGACAGAGGTAACCAAATACTATTATGTACTAATAATTTCTTATTTGTTAATTAAAGTATTTAGTTGGATACATGCTTAATTAATTTGGGCTATGTTGCTTGCTATTCTCTAGTTGCAAACATCATATTCTTGGAGGCACCGGTTGGTGTGGGCTTTTCTTACACTAACAATTTCAAAGATTTACGGGAGCATGGAGATCGTATTTGTGTTATTCATAACTATGCCTTCTTGACTGGTTGGTTCCAAAAGTTCCCAAGCTTTAAATCTCACGATTTTTATATTGCAGGAGAGAGCTATGCAGATACCTTTTTCATATCTACTCATTCTTCTCATTATAATACTTCATATATAATTAAGATCGTTATCTTAGTCTGAGTAATATATATAGTCAATAATACCTTTTATATTGGTATACTTTTTAATTGAACATGTATTAATTTATCGAGTATATATTAGTATCATGTATTTTCTAATTATGCACATTTTTGTATGTTTGGAATTACAGGACATTATGTTCTACAACTTGTTGAACTTATTTATGAAGGAAACAAAGATCCCAAAAAAGACTCTTACATAAATCTCAAGGGATTCATGGTAACTATATTTGGATTATATTTATTTTTGCAACTCATTCTTTTTATACTTAACACCCTTTTTTGATTCCTTTCTTGGTTTTCTTTATTTTCATCTACTTTCCTTTTGGTAAATTAACGACAACAAATATTAATATCTTAACCTTTACAGCTAAATTTCTTATTATATTATTTATCATATTTATTATTATTTTTCTTGATTCTTTATTTTTTTCTTATCTTATTTTTTAATAGAAAGTCAAGAAAGGAATCAGAAAAAGGGTGTTAAGTGTAAAAAGAATGAGTTGCAAAAATAAATATATTCCAAATATAATTATTATGAATCCCTTAAAATTTATGTAAGAGTCTTTTTTGGAATCTTTGTTTCATTCATAGATAAGTTCAGCAAGTTGTGGAACATAATGCCCTGTAATTCCAAACATACAAAAATGTGCATAATTAGAAAATATATGATACTAATATATACTCGACAAATTAATACATGTTCAATTAAAAAGTATACTAATATAAAAGGTATTATTGACTATATTACTCAGACTAAGATAGCGATCTTAATTATATATGAAGTATTATAATGGGGAGAATGAGTAGATATGAAAAAGGGTACCTGCATAGCTCTCTCCTGCAATATAAAAATCGTGAGATTTGAAGCTTGGGAACCCTTGGAACCAACAAGTCAAGAAGGCATAGTTATCAATAGCACAAATACGATCTCCAAGCTCCCGTAAATCTTTGGAATTGTTAGTGTAAGAAAAGCCCACACCAACCGGTGCCTCCAAGAATATGATGTTTGCAACTAGGGAATAGCAAGCAACATAGCCCAAATTAATTATGCATGTATCCAACTAAATACTTTAATTAACAAATAAGAAATTATTAGTACATAATAGTATTTGGTTACCTCTGTTCCAAGAGAATTTATTAAGTTTGAGGTGTTCTTTGTCTTGCACAAGAAATGGACCAAGCTCTCGTGCTACTCCAAAGGCAATGGACGAGCAACCAGGTCCTAATATACAAAAGTTCTAGCAAATTAATTTAGGACATGACCAAATACTTTGTAACAAAATTATTTTAATTTTAATTTGGTACTATCTATATTTAATCAAATGGTAATATTTATTTACTAGAATTTGGATATTTTCTAGTTGCACAAATTTTTTATTAATAGAAAGAAAGAAAAGGCAAATAAATTTTCCATCTCTTTAATTTTCATAAATAAAAACAAAAAGGGAATGCAAATAAAGTAATTGTAGTTACGGAATTATGATGTGATGATATACAAATATCAACATTATTTGTCAAAATCATTCATTAATTGGTAAGACTATGTTATATCAGTATCAATTATACATGATATTATTTACCCAAATTCATGCGTGCATGGTATATGACACACATGACGGTAAATACTAAATAAAACCGATTGCATAAGTTGATAAATAAAAAAAAAAATACCTCCATTGAGCCATAAGAGAAGAGGTTGTTTTTGTGGTTTATGAGTGGCCTCAAAAAACCAATAAAACAATGCCCTCCCATGAGTTTTATTGACAGAAATATAACCAGCATAGTGTTTAAACTTTACACCAGGTTGCCCCGGTAATTCATAGACTCTATCCGCTTCTCTGTCAATAATGGCACGCCTAAGGTTTGTTTGGTGAAAGATATAAGAAGCAGAAGAAGAACAACAACAACAGAATTCAACAAAACTGAAAAAAAAAATCATTTCTCTTGATTTCTCTCAATTCACTTCTTTGCAACTTTGATTTAAATAAGGGAGAGTGTTGAGAAAATATAGAAGAGTGGCGTGACTATATATATTTGAAAAAGAGGAAAGGCCAGGGTTCCAAATACCTCATCTCAACCATTTATGCAGCCACCTCATGAATCCTTCTCATCTGAATCGTTCAAAAGAAACACACTTCACAATCCTCATTCCCGTTCAACCCTTCTACTATCAAAGTGAAGCACTCAAATAGCGCATCATAACGTGTTTCTACTGAAATGGAAAGTGTTGAAATAACCGTGTAGGGTTAGTGTTTCTGTTTTTAATTAACTTTTGCACCCTCCGCTAACACAAGGAACTACGTTAGGTATGAGAAAGAGACACAAAGGGTTGGGTTACTAACCACGCAATTCCACCATCTTCAGGCATCTGGCATGTTAGAGCAGAAACGGAAAAAAATGCGATGAGTGTTCCGCTATTGCTCCGCTCCGTGGTCGCGACCACGAGGTATCCCACTCTCCATGTAGGGTTATTGTTTCAGCTTTTAATTTTATCAACTTTTCTTCTCTTATGCGTGTTAGGTACCTCACTTTCTTTTCAAAAGGTTTTAAGAGGAATGACACGCACACGTTGTTGGATTCTTTGATGTTATTTTTGTAGGATATTGAGGGGGGTGTATTGGTTTAGGATTTCGTAGGATTTTAAAAGTGAAAATAGCAAGCCAATTGATAGTCATATGCACCCAAACCAGAGACAAAGGTGAAACTTTCAAATCCAGAGGTATAGGAAGCTGGTGGGAAACTCATTTATTTCACTATTACAAGATCTAATATTTTTTGTTTTTGTTTTGCAGTCGGAGTTGTTGGTCAATTCATGCAGAATCCTCACATTGACCATTGGAATGTTGTGATTTGCATTCTCAAATATGTCAAAAAGACTGCAAGATAAGGATTGTTGTATGAGGACAAGGGAAATATTTAAAGGAGGGAATATTATCTCTAGATGAACAAGAAACAAAGTGTTGTTGCCCGGTCTAGTGAAGAAGCAAAATATAGATCTATGGCTTTGGCTACTTGTGAACTAGTGTGGATGAAGTTGATGAAGTTGAACTGTGATAATCAAGCAGCCCTTCATATTGCATCCAATCCAATGTTTCATGAGAGAACCAAACATTACGACTGATTTTGATTGTCATTTTGTTTGGGAGAAACTGTTGTTCAAGGAACTTAGTATTGAGTTTATCAGCACTAATAATCAGCTTGCAGACATTCTAACTAAGAATCTAGGATTCAATCTATATTCCAAGCTTGATACATACAATTTATATGCTCCAGCTTAAGGGGAGTGTTAAAATAGTTGTTTATTATAAGTTGTATAGCTTTATAAAGCTGCTTTTTGGCCATATCTAGCTTAAGAGTAAAGGGTCATAGGCTGTAGCCTTTTCCTTTGTATTGTACTTGTTCTGACCTTTCTCATATATATATAATGCATCAGCTGAGAGAAACTCACTGATTTTGCCATATTTTAAATCTCAAGTATATTCACCTCCAGAAAGTAGCAAGTGATGTCGCACAAACTAGACATGGATAAAAAAATATAAGACAGTATGAAAAACAGACAGAACATGGGACAGTCATAATTCAAAAATGTGATAAATGACTACAGCCATTTAGCTGATAACTTTCTAAGAGGAATCTTAAAGTTTACCTTCTTGGTAAGCGACGAATAACAGCATCATCAAGGTCAAATGGCCTGTTAGTGGCACCAAGAATAAGGATTCTTTGATTTTCTTTTGACCTTAATCCATCCCAAGCTGCCATGAACTCATTCCTCATTCTTCTAGTGGCCTCATGCTCGAAAGCACCACCTCGAGCACCAAGCAAACTGTCAACCTACAATACAAATTTTAGTCAGAAACCAAGATTCCAAGACATTATTGAGTCAGACAAACTGATAAAGCATATAGGCTTGAGGGCTCATTTTAAATGAATATTTTAATTAATTTTTTTTCTTACTTTCTAAGGCGCATTCCTGGAAAGTGGACACTAATGTTTTGGCATAAGTAAAAATAAACTAAATGGAGAAAAAAAAAAAGGTATTACATAAAGGAGAAATGATGAATTTTAAAATTCTAAAGTATACTTTTACTCTCCAGCCTTTTGGGAAGGAAAAAACCAAAAGGACAAACTGATTTTCTTGCTATGCATCGAGTGATCTTATAAATGTGACATTAAAAAGTGCCAACGTATTTTCTTTTTTCCATTTCAACTAGTCAATTCAAGAGCCCAGACTTGTCTGAAAGAAGAGACAAGGCTAGTCCTCAAAGGTTCACTCAAAGTAGTTATTGAACTTCTTAAATTGCATTTTTTTCCTGTTAAAATAACAATTTAACATACAGAACTAAAATAACAAAATATGTAAAAAAACTTGCAAATACCAATGCACAAAAAGAAATACATTTTTTTCTAGTATATGGTAAACATTTTTATAAAAAAAACTAATGACATAAGTTATGCATTCAGACACTCACTTCATCAACAAAAATAATGACAGGAGCAAGCTTGCTGGCAAACGAAAAGAGTGCTTTGGTTAGTTTTTCAGCATCTCCAAACCACTGTATAAGCAAAAAAACCAAAAAACAAATATATAAGATATCACATATGCTTCAAAGGAACTTGATTTTAGAAAAACTAGTGAATTATAGACCCACATGCTTTTACTTAATTATATTTATCTATTTTCCAATCCAGATTGAAGTATATGACTTTCGTATTCTTTTGGTGTGTTTTCCATCAAGTTCAGTATTTAAGTTTCTAACCTAGTCTTAAACGTTAGATATTTCTTCTTGATAAATCCATTTGGAAGTCCAAAACTATCTCACTCCAAACTGTTTACTAATGATCCTCCTCAGGTTTTTGGCTTGACATGTTTTGTTCATGATCTTATCCAGTCTTTATATAGTGTATGGTCGAACTATAAAGGGTAACTGATACTGTCATTGGGATGCTGTGGTTGGAATTTTAAGATCTATCAAGGGATTCCTGAAATGAGGTCTAGTGTATGCAGATAAAGGCCATTCTGGTATTGATGCCTACATAGATGCAGATTAGGCAAGTTGTCCAATGAGACAATCTACTTCTTGCTACTATGTTCTTATTGGGGGTAATCTCATTTCATGGGGAAGTAGAATGTTGTCACACGGTCCAATGCAGTGTTAGATTTCATTATTGGAGTATAGTTTTACTCCTTTATTGTTATTTTCGGTTATTATAGATATTTCAGTTATTATAGATATTTCGGTTATCATAGACCAATCTTAATTGGCTCTATATAAACCTGCCCTGTACTCTGTTTTCTGTTGGTTAATGAATTACATTCTTTTGCCTATTGTAAATCTTCTCTCATCTCTCTCTCGCTTTCTCTCTCTCTGTCTCACTCACATATAATTCCTTTATGGTATCATAGAGCTTCTTGATCCTCTTCTTCTCTCCGTTTCCGCTCGCGCAACATCGAAAGCACCACCTCGAGCACCAAGCAAACTGTCAACCTACAATACAAATTTTAGTCAGAAACCAAGATTCCAAGACATTATTGAGTCAGACAAACTGATAAAGCATATAGGCTTGAGGGCTCATTTTAAATGAATATTTTAATTAATTTTTTTTCTTACTTTCTAAGGCGCAAACCCCGTAAACACCGTCCCTCCCAAGAATCCTCCCCCTAACTCTCATCCGTCTCTCACCTTCTCTCACCATCTCCGAAAAACTTGACACCAAGAATTATCTTCTTTGGTGTCAACAGGTTGAACCCGTCATCAAGGGTCACCGCCTTCATCATTATCTTGTCAACCCCCAGGAGTAAAGGGTCATAGGCTGTAGCCTTTTCCTTTGTATTGTACTTGTTCTGACCTTTCTCATATATATATAATGCATCAGCTGAGAGAAACTCACTGATTTTGCCATATTTTAAATCTCAAGTATATTCACCTCCAGAAAGTAGCAAGTGATGTCGCACAAACTAGACATGGATAAAAAAATATAAGACAGTATGAAAAACAGACAGAACATGGGACAGTCATAATTCAAAAATGTGATAAATGACTACAGCCATTTAGCTGATAACTTTCTAAGAGGAATCTTAAAGTTTACCTTCTTGGTAAGCGACGAATAACAGCATCATCAAGGTCAAATGGCCTGTTAGTGGCACCAAGAATAAGGATTCTTTGATTTTCTTTTGACCTTAATCCATCCCAAGCTGCCATGAACTCATTCCTCATTCTTCTAGTGGCCTCATGCTCGAAAGCACCACCTCGAGCACCAAGCAAACTGTCAACCTACAATACAAATTTTAGTCAGAAACCAAGATTCCAAGACATTATTGAGTCAGACAAACTGATAAAGCATACCAATCATTTCAAGCCACATCATTTGTTATAATTATTTATGACTTAAATTTTAATATTTTAAAATTAATCCCATTATATTAAGAAGGAACAACTATTTTGATTAAAAATCTTTTGAGAAATTTTTTTTACTCTATATCTAATTCGGATTTTTTATTATAATTATTTATGAATTAAATCAAGCCTCTTTATATAAAAAACGTACGTTTATATCATTTGAGTGCGTTTTAATTTGGAGTTTTCCATTGTTGAGAGAAATTTTAGGAGTTATTTCAATTTTGTATCTAATTCAATTTTTATTTATCTTAATTATTTATGATTTAAATTTTAGTATTTTAGAATAAATTATCAATAAATAAAAATATATTTTGCTATAATATACATTATTTATAATAAGTCTAAAATTTTAAATATATTTACCGATTCATATTTGAAATTGACTTTTATATATTAAATGTGGCACCCTCTACTCCAACGTTAATACACAATAAATGTAAACAATAATTTATTTATTTTCTTTTTGGGTAAATAAAATCTTTCATAGTTTAATAACATATTTCATGTATAAAACAACTGCTTCAAATCTCATAAGGTAGAAGATTCACATTCGTAACTCATCAATCATAAAAAAAAGTCAAAGATAAGTATTAAACTCAAGAAATCATATAAAGGAGAATATATATTAATTCCAGTAAAGGTGGCAGTGTCTCCTAGTTAGGAATTAATATATCACTTTCAAATCATGTAATAAAATAGTATGACAAAGATATACATTTTGGTCTTTTCTCAAGAACGTTCAAAATTACAAAGGAATAGAAAATTAAAGCTTTTAAAATAATAACATCCCAAAAACAAGCCTAGCTATGCCCGATGTCACATCCTATCAGAGCATGCTCAACTGAAGCCTTAAGCCTCATCACCAACATCCTCATGATGTTGTTCACCTGCAACATAATTTAAACATATACAAAAAAACAACAAGGGAGTGAGAAACATCTCACTCAATTTCAGGTGCAGAAATAACTGCTAGATAACACACACACACACACAACATATATAAGTCACATGTAAACAATACACATAAATAGTCAATATCACATATATATACTCATTTATCATGCTTATGATGTCATGGACTCAACTCATAAATGCATGCATGTGGCGCCATACGGAAGATTCACAATTCATCGTTGGTGACCCTAAGGTACACCTGGTTACATCACTGGTGACCCTAAGGTACACCTTGTTAACATCTTACATCGTGGGTGACCATAAGGTACACCTTATTACATCGTGGGTGACCATACGGTACACCTTATTAGCATATTACAGTGTGGGTGACCATACGGTACACCTTATTAGCATGTTACATTGTGGGTATGCGGCCTCAGCGGCACACCTGGAGTTGTCGCCACCGGCCCAAACGGGCCTCGGCGGTCGCTTTATTGTTATTTTCGGTTATTATAGATATTTCAGTTATTATAGATATTTCGGTTATCATAGACCAATCTTAATTGGCTCTATATAAACCTGCCCTGTACTCTGTTTTCTGTTGGTTAATGAATTACATTCTTTTGCCTATTGTAAATCTTCTCTCATCTCTCTCTCGCTTTCTCTCTCTCTGTCTCACTCACATATAATTCCTTTATGGTATCATAGAGCTTCTTGATCCTCTTCTTCTCTCCGTTTCCGCTCGCGCAACATCTTCCTATGGCTGAATCTACCTCTACAATGAATTCTTCCCCACCACCAACGCCTCCTCCACCCATTCATGCTAACCCCGTAAACACCGTCCCTCCCAAGAATCCTCCCCCTAACTCTCATCCGTCTCTCACCTTCTCTCACCATCTCCGAAAAACTTGACACCAAGAATTATCTTCTTTGGTGTCAACAGGTTGAACCCGTCATCAAGGGTCACCGCCTTCATCATTATCTTGTCAACCCCCAGATTCCTAAGAAGTTTGCAACCCTTGCTGACCGAGATGCTGGTCGCATCTCTGAATCCTATCTTGCCTGGGAATAGCAAGACCAATTACTACTTTCTTGGTTACAATCCTCCATGTCTAAAGACATGCTTACACGAGTTATCGGTTGCAAATCCTCCTTCCAGCTTTGGGACAAAATTCACTCATACTTTCACTCCCATATGAATGCCAAAGCCCGCCAATTGCGCAATGAACTTCGCAATACAAGTCTTGAAAATCAGACAATCTCTGAATATGTGCTTCGAATTCAAACCCTAGTTGATGCCCTCACAGCCATCGGCGACTCTGTTTCTCCAAAGGAACACCTTGATATAATTCTTGAAGGCTTACCCGAAGAATACGAATCCACCGTGTCTCTCATCAGTAGCCGTTTTGACCTTCTGACCATAGATGAAGTCGAGACCTTGCTTCTTGGCCATGAATCCCGTCTTGACAAGTTCAAGAAGAAAGTCGCTGCCTCCATTAATGTCACCACCACCACCCCTGAACCCAATCTGTCTGTCACGAACCCACAAGCACATCTTGCCCATCAAGAAAACCAATCTGCCTTTTCTCAACGTCGAGGGGGTCGCACCAATTTTCGTGGTGGCTGTTTCTCCAACCGGGCAGGCCGTGGACGAGGCAGATTTGCTGGGTACCAATGTCAAGTCTGCCATAGGTACGGACATGTTGCTTCTGCCTGCTATTATCGTTTTGATGAAACCTATGTTCCATCCTCACCTCTTGAAGCACCCGCGTACCACTCTACCAACCAACATGCAAACACAAGCGTGTGGTATAGCAATCAACCTGCTTCTTCTTCTCTTCATCAAAATGGCATTCTTGGGCCTAGACCTCAATTTACTCCTCAAGTCCAATTCACCTCCACCCAGGCGCAACCTCAAGCCATGATTGCATCGTCCTCCTCTTCAAGCAACAACAATTGGTATCCGGATTCTGGGGCATCAAATCATGTTACCAATGTCTCTCAAAATATTCAACAATTTACTCCTTTTGAAGGACCCGATCAAATCCATGTTGGTAATGGACAAGGGCTTCACATTAACTCCACAGGTGTTACCACCTTTCATTCTCCAATCAACCCTAAGTTTCAATTTGCTCTAAACAATCTTCTATTTGTGCCCTCCATCACAAAAAATCTAATCAGTGTTAGTCAATTCTCCAAGGATATCTGTCTCACTCTCCTCTGGATTCTTTCTTTCTTCCCTCTCTTTCTTTCTTTCTTTTTTTTCTCTCTCTCTCTCTCCTCTTTCTCTCTCTAAGATTTCACCTTCTCACTCAGTATATAATTTTTCACCCCTCAGCCTCCTATTTATAGGCAAACTGGTGTACCCGGAACGACCCGTATTGAATTCGGAACGGCCCGTTCCGGATCCTTCGAATTTGTGCAAATTTCTCAACTGGAACGGCCCGTTCCAAAATCGGAACGGCCCGTTCTCAAAAAGCAGAACGTCCCGTTCTAAAACCAGAACGGCCCGTTTTCATTCTCAGCAGAACGGCCCGTTCTCCCTCCGGAACGGGCCGTTCTCCTTGTTGGAACGGCCCGTTCTGGGACCGTTCCCAACCTATAATTTTAGCTTATTTTTAATGCTCAGAACGGCCCGTTCCACTTTCGGAACAGCCCGTTCTGAGTTACTCAAATACCCCTAATACCTTTATAAAATTACGAAAATGTCTTCAGTAATTACAGAAATGCCATTACTAATTAAAAATATCCTTTTAAAGAAATTGGGGTGTTACATTAAACACAAATCTCTATCTCATACCATAACATTTTGTTAGGGACTTCTCTTCGACTAGAAAGACTTTAGTTGCTTCTTATCTGATTTAGTTTTTATTTATTATAAGTATTTATAAACTAAACTTTAAGGTTTTAAATTTAATTTATCAAAAAACAAAAATAATATTGTGCTATAATATAAATTATTTACCATAATTTTAAAATTTTATTTTTTATGTTTAAAAATATTTTTCCATCAAAATTTCAACTATGATTTATATGTAAAAACATTATTTAGTTATATATATAATATTTATTTTTATAATTTTAAGTTATATATAATAAATATTTAGTATATGCATTACAAATTCTAAAACACTAATATAAATTATATCATCAAACATAGTATTTATTGATACACGTAATTTTTAAAATATTTGTTATATATAATAAACATTTAATATGTATTGCACAAACAAAAATGTTGAAACTTAACATATATATA